TGGCCCACGAGAAGGGGACCGCCGCCTGCGACAGGACCACGGGTGAGCCGGGACGGGGGATGGATCCTGCCCACTGGGTGGAGGAATGGGGGGCTGCCCCGAGGCTCCCCTGGAGAGAGCATGCTGTTCCCCCTGGGGTGGGTGCTAACCTGCTTTTTGCTCCCCACAGGGCTGTGAGTGTCGCCAGGGATGACAGCGGTGTCTGCTGGAGTGGCTGCCACTGCCACGGTGGGATAGGCGTCCTGCCAGGAGCACAGGGCAAAGGATGCCACACGCCTGCCCAGCGGGGCAGTCTGGGCAGCCCTGTCCTGGTGGGCAGCACAGGGGTCGGGGGCCATGGGGTTCATTCCTACTTAATTTTCAAAAAGGGAATATCTTATTTTTGTACGTTTTTATAAACTCATCAACATGTGCACCCTGGCATTTTTATACTCCATCCCAATCTCCACTCTGGGCCTGTGCCCCCCCATCTCCTGTTTCACCCACTTTTCCTCCTCCCACACCCATTTTCCCCAGCATGTTGTTTTCACACCTCGCCATGCCCCCCATGCCCTCTGCCACCCGTGGCAGCACTGGCTGGTGCTGTGCATGTGCCGGTGATTTTGGTACTGCTCCCTGAGGTGTGGGGGACTTAGGGGAGCAAGCTGGGGGTCTGGCTGGCTGGGCCAAGCTGTGGGACAGAGGGCTGGGCTGGCATTACTTTTGGAGGTGGTGAGAGAGGTCCTGGTGGCACTGCAGTGCCAGAAAGTGACTTTGTACCTTGGGGGGCCGTGCTGCGCAGCATCCTGGCACGGGGCTGTGAGTTGCGTGGCTGGCCTGCTTGGAAATGTCTGTGCAGAGGTCAGGGGCTGTTGTTCCCACTGCCTCCGCCCTGTCCTGGCAGGCCGCCCTCGGACCAAAACTGTCTCCTCCCACTCTGGCTGCAGGGCTGGGACCCCCTGCACAGAGCCAGACCCTGGCCTCACAGTGGGGACGTGGTGCCCCGAGCTGGGCTCGGCCGGGAGCCAGTGGAGCATTCCTCATCATCTCAGCCTGGGTCACATGGGGACTTTTGTAGCGTTGTTTTTTACTCGGAAATGATTGTCACTCTGTTTTTCTTTTTTTTTTTAATATCTATATTAGTAAAGGCTGAAGACGTTTTGTACCGAACTGCTGCATCCGCTCATTTGGGAGGAAGGGGTGGGAAGGGAATCCTGTGCGTCTGGGCTGGCGCTGCCGTGCGTGCCTTGGGACCTCCCTGCTGCCCAGGGTGACTCAGTCCTTCCCGCCGTGAGGAGGCGGCTGCGGCCGGCCAGGGCAGCCGTCATCATCCTGCTGGAGAGGGATTGCGCTGGCCACGTTCCCATTTTTCCCTATCACTGTCAGGGGGCCAGGCGAGGGGCTTTCCTCTGCCTCCCCAGCCTCCCACCATGCCTGTGTCTCCCCAGCCCTCCGCTGCCCCCATTCCTGCACAACCTGCTGCCCAGAGCAGAAGGGATTTTGCTGTGCTCTGCACACCCCTGCCTGGGGCAGAATCAAACCCAGCCACACCGTGCCCATTTTGGCCAGCATACTCCAGTCCTCACTCTGGTACCCCAAATCAGAGCTAGATTCCTCTCACAGTATTTGCCCATCCCCTCATTTCTCCCTCTTGATAGAAGCTGGCACTTCTAGGCTGCTTTAGTAAAGGGAACAGGTTTATTTCACTCATCCCATGAAGCTTTCCAACAAGCTGTGCTGCTGGGAGAGGGCTCACTTGTGGGGCCATGTGTGCTACCAGCCCTGCTCACCAGTGTGAGGCTCATGGGTCCACCCAGGCACCTCCTGATCCTGCTGCAGCAGCCTGGCCCTGCCTGGAGCACGGGGGATGCTGTTGAACTCTGCAGCAGGGGGAAGACACTGATCTTTGCGGGGGTGCAGAACTGCAGGAGGGAAGCAGGTGGGAGAGATGAGGGCTAATCTGGTTGCAGACAGCAGCTGGGCTTTGGCAGGGCAGCGATGCCTTTGCCATAGGCTGTGCCTATCTATGCCCAGCCATGCTCTGATTTGCTCTGAGCTGGGACTGGCCCTAGGGCAAGTCTGGCAGTGTGATGGTACCAGGGCCAGCCCAAAAATCTGGCTTGTGCAGGGGGGGAGGGTGGTACAGTCAAACTGCCCCATCCCAGCGGCCAGGGTTCCACTGGGCAAGCAACTCCTCCTGGGTGGGCTCACGGTCCGGGGCTGGGCTGCAGGATGCCCTAGACACAGGTGCAGTCCTGGGCCAGGATGTTGGGCACCGTCTCGTACTTGAAGGAGTATCCGCCGTCGGAGGTGGTGCGGACGCGCAGGGAGCGCATGGTGCCGGGCAGGGCAGCGCAGCACAGCTGCACACCCAGCCGGTGGCTCAGCCCGTGGCCTGCGGCGCAGCTCCCGTGGCAGTAGTGGAACACAAAGCTGCTGGGATGCACGATCCACTTGTCCCAGCCCAGCTCCTCGAAGGAGATGTTGAGGGAAGCCCGGCGGCAGTTGGTGTGGGCAGCAAGCTCCTCGGATGGACGCTGCAGCAGGCTCAGGGCAGCTGGGGACCAGGGCATGGCAGAGCGACGAGCCCTCTCGCTGCCCTTGGCCCGGGTGGTGGCCACCAGGAAGGGCATCTTGTCCCCCTCGGCCAGGCAGGGGCAGCCAGGGCAGCGCACCATGAGCACGAAGAGCGGCTGCCAGAGCTGGGGCAGCAGTACCGGGGCCAAGTGGAACACAGTCCAGTGCTCGGGTGTCCGCTCCACCATGGCCGGCACCGGCACCCGGCCCTGAGGTGACAGGGTCAGCACATCGGGGGTGGAGTGGTTGGGGGCGGCCGAGGGGCCCGTGTAAAACCAGAGCTGGGCAGAAGTCACCACACGGCTCAGGGTGTGTGCCGAGGGCTGGAAGAGGTAGGTGAAAATCCCTTCTTCCTCCAGCAACTTGTCTGGCTGTGTGGGCTCACAGGGAACATCTGTCGGGGGGAAAAGATGATCAGGGTGTGCAGCCAAACCTGGGAAGAATCCCCAATGCCAGATGACAAGTGGGATGTTGCAGAGGTCCCAGGAGTGCTGGCAGGGCACCTGGCTGCTGGCACAGGCAGTGGCAGAGTGCAGGGCAGCTGATGTGCTGTGCAGCAGCTTCTGTGCTGTGCCCCACAGCTGATCCCTGCTATGCCCTAGGCTGGTCCATTACTGTCCCCTCTGTCCCCCAGTATTCTGCCCCACAGCTGGTTATCTCGCCCCTTTCCCCCAGAGTCTATATCATGCCCTGTCCCCCAGCATTCAGCCCCATAGCATTCAGCCCCACAGCTGGTCATCCTGTCCCCTTCTCCCATCCTCTGCATCCTGACCATCTCCCCAACATCCTGGCCCATCTCCCAGTCCTGTCCCATAGCTGGTCATCCTGCTCCTTTCCCCCAGCATGTACATCCCATCCCATCCCCCAGCATTCTGCCCCATCCCTGCTGTTATAGCTGGTCATCCTGCTCCATGCTTCAGCATCCTGCCCTGTCCCTTAGAATCCCAAACCACCTTCCAGTATCCTGCCCCATTCCCTAGCATCCCACCCTATTCCACCCTGCTCCTCAGCCCTCCCCATGTCTCTGCATCCTGCCTGGCCAGCTGTTTCCCAGCCTCTCAGCACCCTCTTGTGCTGCCTCTCCCTCTGCTGTCTGTCCTGAGCTGTTCTGCGTGTCCCTGCCTGCCATACCTTTCCATCTCCTGGCTCTCCACCAAATCTCACTCATGCCCATGTCCCAGCCTGGCATACCTTCTTCCCCTTCTCCCCCAGACCACCACATCAGCCTCTCCATCCTTCAGCATCTGCCTTGCTCCAACCACCCACCCTGCTTCACCCTTTCATCAGGATGTCCTCACCTGTGGCAGGGAATAAGATCACCTGGGAGATGTCCTCCAACTCCTCTGGCTCCACTTCGGTGCTTTCAAGGACGTCCCTCCGGTGCACCCTCCTGGCTTCCATCTGCGGCTCCTCCTGGAGCAGGGGGGGGCTCAGGTGTTCCAGCACCCGGGCCC